ACCTGGGTCTCTGGATTAACAGTCCAGTGATAATACTACCACGCTATCACCTCCCATATAAAAAGCCTATTGGGATGTGGAGTCTAAATATTTCACGTGTACCAAAGCATGCTGTGATAAAAAGTAAGACCAAATCAGAAAGTTATCACATTTTGTGCTAAATCCTGTCACGATGGAGTGTGAAAATCTGTCTTCATTTATCTCCACAACTGGTGCAGTTATTGATTTTAGCTGCTTGTTAAGGTTAACCTCAAACAATGTAAAAGAAGCTCTTTTACTATTTTACAAAGAGCAAATGACTCAAAGTGAGATAAGGGATAACATTGACAGATTAAGACAGCAATGAAAATGGTTGTCAGGGAAACAGATTGAGAAGGAAGCCATACAACACCACCAGTGGTTTGGAAAAGACAATGTTCAGTCTAAGAAATAGCATTTATTGCCTTCACCTTGTTGTTGAGATATATCAGTCAACCTGAGTAATTCTTAAAGCTCAGTTCTACTGCCATTCGTGGTCAAAACACATCATTAGAAATATGGACGTGATTGTCCAAAATGTAACTGCACAAATCAAATATTGTTGATGAAAATTAGATTTTGTCCCTCTTTTTGTGCAACTGAAAAATGGTGCACAACTGGACTCTGCTCTGAGGAGCAATTATTTGTTCAGGGTTTACCGTCATGAAGGAGGCAAAGTGATAGGTCGATAGTCATTCAAACTTTAGAGTCCCTGCAGAGACCATGTTGAATTTGATGCATTTTACATCCAGGTGATAAATAGCATTAAAATTACTCCAGGAAGTGTTAGCCTCAGCCCCAATGCATCTTCCTGTCCACAGTCTTGGTTGTAACTCCTCTCTAATTAACACTACCTAATAACAACACAACATCTTGCATTTACATAGTGCTGTCACCAATACAACACACCCCAGGATGCTTCACAGCAGTGTTATCAGACAAAAAAAAAGTCAAACCAAACTAAAGAAGGTGACACAGGGGAGGTGATGGCCTAGTGGTATTATCGCTAGACTATTAATCCAGAAACTCAGCTAATGTTCTAGGGACCCAGGTTTGAATCCTGCCACAGCAGATGCTAGAATTTGAATTCAATAAAACAAAATCTGGAATTAAGAATCTACTGATGGCCTTGAAACAACTGTTGACTGTCGGAAAAATGCATCTGACTCACTAATGTCCTTTAGGGAAGGAAATCAGCCATCCTCAGCCAGTCTGACCTACATATGATTTCAGCCCCACAGCAATATGGTTGACTCTTTACTGCCCTTTGAAATGACCTAACAATTCAATTCAGTGGCAGCTAGGGATAGGCAATAAATGCTGGCCAGCCAGCAATACCCACGTTCCATGAGTGACGAAAGAAAAAGGAAATGACGATTACAAGCCTGTTTCCTTAGGCCTAAAAACACTTTGGAGGTCCTTTTGGAATGACAGGTGCGCTGGATGGGTAACTTCAAGGCATAGGGCTCCAGAACCTTCTTGTCTTTACTGGTAGACTGTATTTTAAATTTTCTATCTAACTGAGTACAGAAGACTGGCGCAGGAAGGGAGAGTGCACTGTTGGGGTTTCCTTCAGTGGTGGTGGTGGTAAAGGTGTAGAAGAGATTGCAGTCAGGGTGGGGGAGGAGATGATGGCTGTGGAGGTTGACCGTCATGTCCATGGAGAGTCATGATGATAGACAGAGGAACAGCTATCTCACAGGGACTGAGGGGAAACAGTCATGCACAAACTGACCCAGAAGCTGTGATATAAAGACAATTAGACAATGGATGCAGATGTGGCAACTTTTAACCAGCTGGGTTTCTTGAGGTTATGAATTTAAAAGTGGAACTACTTTTATTAGAAGCACACAGTTCTCCAAAAACATTTCAATGACTGACCCATCTCTAGAGAGCACATTAGTCACCCGGCCCCCATTGTGATTGAACTGGAAGTGGGTAGGTTCATCACAGATTGAGTTCCTTCTGCAGATTTTAAAAACTGCTCACCCAAACCAACACCATCTGTCCTTTTATTGGTGTTGGGGGTCTATAATAATTCCCCAAAGTTTTAATGAATTAGGCTTTTTTCACTTTTCTGGGGGCTCTTTCCAAGGAATGCCACCCCACTTCTCACAAAGGCAAAAAAATGTAATAAGTGGAGCAGAGTTCCTATGGTGGCACCAGGAATGGGCACGACTTCTGCCCGTGTATCATGAGCAGCCATGTATGTGTGGTGTGGTGGGCATGCATCCTGTAAGTAATCACACAGTAGGATGGGCAGCAAGTGAGTGACCCTGCCACAAGGTGAATTAACTCCAGGTCATGTCAGGCTATTTACCCCAGTCTCTGCAGGCAGGGAGCACTGCTGCCAACTGGGAGAAACACGCATCCACTGAAGGGTCACCTTTCAGTGAATCACAGCCTTCGTACTAGCCACCAACAGCAGTCTCTTTCATCTGTCAGTGTATTTTGTTAAGCCCCTGCCACTCCCCTCTCCCGCCTTTCATCTGTATCCACACGATCAGATTCTCCAGACTGCCACTCCTCTCCTCCTTTGTCAAGCAACAGGAGAGCTCTGCGTTTCCGACAGAAGATTGGGATCACAGCTCTTTCAGAAATATGGAGCTGTACCTCCATTCTGACAGCTCCCTCTTGGCACAGAGCAGTCGGAGAAGGCAAACCATGCCTGCTTTCTCAAAGTGGTCAGCTGCCATATTCTGAAATTTTATATCCAGCATCAGAGACAGTTACTTGACAGATGTTGTCAAACATCAAGTATGCAAGCGTGTGGTTAGAGTGCCAGCGAGTTGTAGGGGGTAAGATTCCAGCTAAGTAGGGTGCGAGATGGGTAGGGTCACGTGGGCAAGGTGCCAAATGGTTTAGAGGTAGGGTGTCAGGGGTTAGGGTGCCAGAGTGCAAAGTAGACAGAGTGTTGTGTCTGGAGCAGGGGATTGGTCTAGAGTAAGGTAAGGGTGGGTCTGGTCCAGGAGTGGGCAATGTGGGAGGTTAGGGCTGGCAATTGGGAAGGGATGCCAAAGCCTGGGGCAACAGGGGTGAAGGGGCCCTGGGGAGTGGGGGTGTCGGGTCAGAGTTTGGGAGCATTTAGGGGACTGTAGTTGAGGGCATGTAAGAGAGGTTCAGGGTCAATTCAGTTGAATAACTCCTAAGGAGTAGGTATTTAATTGTGTAACTTTTTTTGAGTAACTATTTACATAACTTCAGCAGAACACACCCAATTCTCTGATTTAAACAGATACTTTCAATGGTTTCCAGGGAAATGCCCAGCAGAATCTTCAATTCCAGACAATTCCTTCAGAATCTGCTACGATGGGATTCCACAGGGTCTCCATGTGCATCTCCCACCTACACTGCAGAAACAATTATGACTATCGTAAAATCTGGACCATTGTGTTGGATCCAACTGACTAAGGTGTCTCATGAGAGAAAAAGAACAGCCCCAGATTCTCCTCCACAGCTTCGAGGAAAGGTTGGAGGGGGTACTCTTTGCGAGGGATTGCAAATGGGAGCTTCCTGCTTTACCAACGCAGCCCAGTTGGAGATCACAGAAGAGGTGAGCAAATGTTGTGTCTGTCCAAAACCCTGGGTGCAGTGCATTACCACTTACTCTGGCTGACTGGGGAAATGTGGTGCCATATCACATAGGTACCTCATTAGTATCAAGCCAAAGAAGTCTAAGGCAGGAAAGAGGCTAGACTGCCAAATGTGTGTTTACTATTAGTACCATATGGTCAAAGAGCTTGTATATGATAATATCAATGGGGCATGGGTTACAATATGTGGGTACTGTGTGACATGGGGATGGATTGGGAGAAAGGTCACAACTGCCTCTTGTCATGCTAACACTGCTGCAATTTGTCATATTGGATAAGGATACACTGAATGCCAATGAGAAGTTTAAAGGAGGGAGTGGAGTAGATGAGAGCCATCACTGGTTTGGGGGTCTGGGATAGCCTCTGTACAATGGACTGGGCTCCTCGATTGGGCATAGCTTATTGGCTAGTCACCAAGTGACAGCACATAGGCAGCAATTCCATCTTCAAGAGGAAGTCCAGCTCACTTCCAGCAGTGTTCACACTCACCATTCACCAAGTGTTCATAGTACATAAATACATAAAAAGGTTCTCATATTCCGGGCACAGCATTGACTGCTCTGCAGTTGACATGTCACCTTTTAATTTCATGGACTCAACTCAATGTTGGGTAACTGGGATTTTGTCCCCTGTTTAATTAAGACGTCTCACTGCCTGGCATGTTTCCTGCTCTTAAGAGCCCATTAAATAGTGCCACTAAAGGTCAAGTGCTTAATTTCTTACTTTCCATGTAGTTAGCTGACGAGTACAGCTGTGTAACGATTAGGTGTCTTAATTTAAAACTGTCTGTAAATAAGACAGCAATGGGTCAGAAAAGACAGCGAGGAATAATTGTGTCCGACCTCTGAACCAGGAGTTCTGGGTTCAAGTTTCACTTGCTTCAGAGTTGTGTCATAACACATCTGAATGGGTGGATTCAAATTATTTATCCACTCACCATAACCGACTGCACAGCAATCACATCACCTGAACAAGCAATTCCTGTAACTCACAAGGCTTCTAGTTCTTAAGGAGCAAATCTTACTGTGTAAAAATTATAGCCACCATGCATCTGTACTAAATCTTAAAGCATTCTATATTGTGCTGGCAACTCTGGGAATTAATAACACTGAACAAAATGTCAACAACAAAAATCATAATTGGTGCAGCTAAAGGGAACAAGCAAACTTGACTAAAAATGTGCAATTAGAAAAGATTATTGGAATAAAAGTTAATCATAGCTTAAACATTATAGAACAATCATTTATTTATTCCAATATATTTCATAAAAAACTGTTACTATATTCATTTTGTTTTTTAATTGGTAACTTCCAACATATAAATAGTTGGAAAATACAACATTTTCATTTCATGTGTCACTGCAGAAGTCAAGGGGACTAAAGTACTCACTGTTAGAGAAAAAAGGACAGGCCCAACAAAGGCCCAGATGATCTCACTCTGAATGTTCAGCCAACAATGATTGTCTGCTATGTATTTGTCACCAGTAGTTGCTAGGGTGATGGCCACAATAAAAACTGGGAATCCTAAAGAAAAAATGCAGAAAATGTTTTCTAGCTTCACATTAAAATGCATCTCTATTGCTTTTTTCCGTGTTTAAAAAAACTGAACTTCATTTATTTACTTTGCCTAAATATATTCCTCATTAGCAGTTCTAAGCATAAGATTTCAATAATAGGAAAATATAAGTTGATGCAGACAACACAGCAAAGGTTTCAATACCACTTTAACAGTAAAAACGACATGATAATGCAATATAAAGTACAGACACGAAACAGAAATGTAAGACTAGATATTGGGCAGTGCGAGCCAGTCACAAATACAGGGTAAATCAAGCAGAGCTGTGGATCATGAGTGTGTTAAAACCAGTGAGAAGGTCACAAATAATTATCCAATGACTTGAGATCATGTACAAATATACAAGCCCTGCACATAAATCACCAGACACAAAGTGACATTCCTTAAACAAAATGCAAGACTCTTTCCCATGTGATAAAAAGACTCTTTCTTAGCTCATTCATTTCTTCATGTCCCCACTTGTCTCGCCATCCCCACAGATAAAAACACATGAATTTCTAGACAAAAAAAAAGACCAAGATCCATTAACTCAAAACGTGAATTATTTTTCGCTCTGTACAGATACTGCCTGAGCTGCTGAGTGTTTCCAAGATTCCTGGATTTTATTTGAGATTTACAGATCTGCAGTACTTAGATTTGGAGATACATGTATTTTGCTATCGACTATCCTGGAAGTCTTATGATAGAATCATAATGGAATTGTTAATCATTCATGGCAATCACTCTCTGTTACTCTACTCCACTCTAATACAGGTTCAGACTCTTCAACTTTATTTTCCTTTTGATTTCTTGGAAGCCTGGACCTTTTCCACTTGCTGTTTCAATGGCAGTATGGTTTCAATGTCCTGTTTGAGTTTTGTCACTAGCGCACAATTGCTAGCATCTATTTCTGAAAGGACAGTCCTGCGTGTGATTTGCAGATCCTTGGTATGTGCATCTCTACCTATTTTTGCAGGTCTGTCTTTTTCTCCAGCATTGCTTTGAGCTCAAACCAATGTTTCTGTCACTGCTCCTGCAGAACTTGATTTGTTTCACATCATATGTAAAGTTTTTTATTGTGTACATTTCATCATGACTTCCCATGTTTGTGGGTACATTTTGTTTTAGAAATTTCAGGGATAGCATATTGGCACTTTCCCGCGTCTCAGTCTGAGCGGAAAACACATAGTCATCAGTTTTCTGAGGACAGATAAGTAGAATTTTTGCAAACATTTCGGAACGGGGATGACATCAATGTCTACCATGAAACTGTGTTATGATCCCAGCTGTTACTTTGGACAAGTCAAGTCCCAGAATGAAATCAGACCTGAAAGATTATATTCTGTTTCTCTTTAAATTTAATGGTGAGGTCTTTCACCGAACATGAGTATGCAAATTTGAAGATTTGGTTACAGTAACAAAATAGAAGTTTATTACACAAAAGAAATAACATTAGCATAAACCAAACCAAGCCAACTAAATATAACACAGTTGGAAAGATTTTAGAACACACAGCAAAACAAAATTCTATATACTCTCCAACATTGTATCTTTACTGTTAATCAAAAAAAAGAGAAATTCCTTCCCTATCATATCTGTAAGTTTGACTTAACTACTTCTACTCAGTTCCAGGCCTGTGAGTTGTGAAGCTTTTCCCTTGATGACTCACACAACTGAGATCTTAGATTTTCTCAGCTTCAAATAACCAATATAGATGTCAAACCAAACACTCTTGCTCTAGAAATTTCACAAACTACACTCTTTCACTGAGTAACGTATTTCTTTAATTGCTTTGAACAATCTCATTTTATGGGACAGACTATATTTGCTGTTGAAACCAGTCAGATCTTGTCGAACTGCCCAAAAGCTTGTGAACATCTTTAAAAACTTATTCATCCTAGCTTCTGCTAACCACTGGCTTAATATTTTCTCTCCCCAGTCATAAACCCTCACAGTATAAACAAGCTTCCATTAACACTCACAGACGCACAAACTGGGTTATAATCATGGTTCTGGAAAGACTGACATAGTTAATTTTTAAACCATTTCATAAATGTAGGCTAACCCACATGTCACTAGTTTGAAATCCAAAATCTAAAAAAATTATAGACACAAATAAAAATCATAAATCTTTCAGCTCAATTGACAGTGTGAAACATGTGTTCACCATGCTTTCTCTCGTTGTGGACTTCATCTCATACCTCACTGGGGATAGTGCAAGGTAAATTGAGTCTACCTGTTTCCCAAGTTATCACAAATGTGACAATTTAATAAAACTACCAAAAATCCCAATTTTCCTGTCTGACTGGTACCGTGGACTAGCACACCAGGTTCCTTCAATAACAGCAAAATTAATTCTATTAATGTAACATACTTCATAGTAAGAAATCAATTCTGAGTTATAGCACTTAAACTCTGTCCCTTTTAAAATTCACACACACACAATGAGAAACAACAAAACACAAATATTAGGAATAAAAACCTGGAAATCACAGTTCGGTATCACCAGTCTAAATTACAAAACTGGATAGGTTGGTTTCACAATTCATTTGAAACTTCAGTGATGCCATGATGTTATCTGCACATTGATGATCAATCTTTAGTTCAGTGGTTAATTGATATTTCCTTTTCTTTTGGGTTCTGGAATTATTTCTTTCAGCGTGTTTGGAATAAGTATTTCTGCTCTTTTGACAGACAGCAACTTTACAGGAAAAGGGGAGAGGGATATTGATGCAAATAACTTCTACAGGTTTCTTCGCTTTTCTCATTTATTTTGTGCATAAGAGTCTGTGTCAATCTGCAGCCTGACCAATTAGAGGGTTGGTACTATTCTGAGCTCTCCTGATCCCACAACAGCTGGTGCCAATTCATATGGATTCGATGTCCCCAAACAGGTTACATTTTCCCATATGCATTAATCAGCTTTGTTTATTTTTCTGAGTTGCAAATACCTCCTTGTACATTTTCCCTTTATTACAATCAGTGTCCATTTTCGATTTATTGTCTATAGCCCAAAAATAAAAAAAATGTCTCCTGCAATCATTAGATGCTGGTTTGCCAATCATTTCATGTGTATGCCAGATGGTCTTTATTATAGTTTGAAGGTACTTATGTGCAGTCCATTTGGGTTGTGACACAACTCTTTGTGGCTGCATCAACCTTCGCTGACCTGCACTGCCTCTGCCAGTGGCCTCTTCTGTTACAAATCTTGTAAAATTGATTGAAAGCTGGACATTTCCTTGGTGCAATCAGAGGCCACATCTCCCACAGGTCATGCTACGTTTACATGTTCTAGTAATTGTGTCAACTATCAGATCTGTCTCATGTACTTTAGCATGATTTAAGACTGCTGACATGCGTTTAACCTGTGGACTAGATTGCTCACTGATCGTTCAAGCACAATAAGCCTCATCAGTACGTTGTTCACCACTGCTGCCACCATGTCAAGTTAATGATTATGGTCTAATAAACAATCGCTAATCGGGGTAGATTAACTCCGACAGTTAGTTTATTTGAAACAGTAAAACACATAAAGTTATGAAGCAGAGTTAACAGCAAACTGAATAATTTCTGCATTTATGTACAGGTTGGAAACCCGCAGCAGACTATCTGCAGGCAGCATTGCAATATTGTGCAACACATGGCACATGAAGTGTTTAGACGTGAACTTTTTAATGTTAAGGTAGACATCAGCAGAGGCATTGGAATTCTATGACCCTGCCGCTCTGAATGTGTTCATTTTCCCTGTTGATCCAGCACTCAGAAAATGTCTGATTTTCACGGTGACCCTGTTCAAGGTGGTGAGGGAATTGTCTTCATTGATTGTCAACACCATAAATGAGCTTGTAATTCACTACAAAACTCACAAATTAAATACTTAACATAGTTACACTATCCAATTGGGACATTTCTGTGATTGGTGTATTGGGAAAGTATTGTATTTGTAATTTCTGCTGCTAGAACCGATTCTCCACTTTCCCGAAAAAGGTGCATAAAATGAATCTCTAAAAATCTTTAGTTGTGTTTGACTGAGCTGCCACAGATTTTAGCACTAATTCATACAAAACTCCAAAACTGAAGATTTGCTGTTAAAATCCAATCAAATATATAGAAATAAATTAATATTTGCTGCTTTAATTCTTCTCCTCTTACAAGTGTAATCACTGCCATAAATTTTCCTTGATTGTTTTGATAACAGAAGTAAATACAACTTCCAGGGCAATACAACAACAACAACTTGCATTTATATAGCATCTTTAAAGTAGTAAAACATTCTACAGCTCATCACGCTGCATTTTTCAATAAAATTTGACACTAAACCAGATAAGGAGCTATTAGGACAAGTGACCTAAGGTTTAGGGTTACACAGGTAGATTTTAGAAATGGCCTTAAAGGATAAAGAAAGAGAGAAGTTTTGGGAGCCAATTCCAAGGCTTAGGAACTTGTTATTTGAAAGCACAATTGGAACAATCTAACATATGATAAGCAAGATAATATAATTGAAAAGCGTGATGAGTTCCTGGAGGATTGTGGGGCATGATATAAAGTATGTGAATTTGAAAACTGACACCTTGTTGTTGTAGAAGCCAATGTAGTCCAATGAGCCCTGTTTCTAATGGAGCCCTGTTTCTAATGGAGCCCAACTCATTTTAGGAAACAGACAGCAGAGTTATGGATCAACTCAGGTTTACAATGAGTGCAAGCTGGAAGGCTGGAAAGCATTGGAATAGTCAACTACATAGATGAGAGCTGGGAGACAGTGGCACGTGCTCTAGTAATCCAGAGTCCTGCACTGAAGGGCCTGTAATCCAGGATCCCAGACTAAAGGACCCATAATCCAGAGTCCAACACTAAAGGGCCTATAATCCAGAGTCCCACACTAAAGACCTATAATCCAGAGTCCCAGACTGATGTTCTGGGTTTGAATCCCTTCTTAAGGTGATGAAATTTCAATAAAAATCTTGAATTAAAAGCTAGGCTACTAGAAACTAGGAGTAGGAGCAGGTCATTGGCCCTTCATTCAACATGAGTGGAGACTACATTTCAATTGTCGGAAATATCCATCTGACTCAGTAATTTCCTTTAGGTAAGGAATCTGCCATCCTTAGCTGGTCTGGCCTACATGTAACACCAGACCTTCACCAATGTGGTTGACTCTTATGGCAAGCCAGTGAATTCAATGACAATTGGGGATGGGCACCAATCTGCTGGGCTTCACAGTGACACGCACACATCACTAGAATGATTTTTTTAAAAATCAGCAGTAGATGAACTGAGGTGGAAATGGTAAAAGATAGAGATGGAAGTAGATTGTGTTAGTGATGGAAAGATTATAAGGCCACAAGCTCAGCTCAGGGTCAAATACAATGCCATTATCAGAAATGGTTTGGTTCAACTCTTGTCAATCACCAAGTAGATCAATGGAACCAATGATCAGGGAACAGAATTTGGACAGAAACTAAAGACAATAGTCCCCTAATGTTCAATTGGAGGATGTTTCTGCTCATCCAATGCTGGATGTCAGTTGAGCAGTATGACAAGTCAGAGTTAATGAGAGGGTTGAGAGAGGTAGAGATGGATGCCATCGCTATACACATGGAATCTGATATTGTGTTATCAGATGATGCTGCCTCTCAGCAGCACATTAATAAGAAATAAAAGCAACTCTTGTTGATTTGCAGCAATCTTCTTCATGACATCAGACTAAACAAACTGTTCTATTTAAAGTTACGATCAGCAGATTTCGTTTGGGGGTTGAATTAAACGTAAACTGAATAGGATTGAAAAGTGCACATCAGTCTGCTTTTTAAAAGGGGCAAAAGAGGAAAAGCATGGAATTACAGGCCAGTTAGCTTTACATCAGTGGTGGGGAGATTGTCGGAGTCTATAAATCAAGGACAGGGGAATTGAACATTATGAAAATTTTCAGTTAATCAGGGACAGCTGCAATGAAGTTTTTGAAGAGGTGACTAAGACAATGGACATGGGAGTGTCTATGCATGTTGTTTATATAAACTTTAAGAAGACATTTGATCCGGTTCCACATAAGAGACTGTTAGCTAAACTAGAAGCCCATGGAATTGAGGGCAAATTACTGTTATAGCTGAGAAATTGTTTTGAGTGGCAGGTGACAGAAAGTAGTAGGCACTCAATTTGGTAGGATGTGACCAATGGTGTCCCACAAAGCTCTGTATTAGGACTTCAATTATTCACATTATCTATTTATGACTTGGATAATGACATGGAAAGTCATATATTCAAATCTGCTGATGACACAAAGTGGCATCGTGGACAGTGTAGATGATAGCATAAAATTATAAAGAGATATTGTTAGACTAAATAAATGGGCAAAGCTGTGGCAGATGTAACCAAGTGTGGGGTTATTGTGAGGTTCATTTTGGACTGAAAAGGGTTCGATCAGGGTACTTTCCACCTGATATGATGTTAAATACAGTGGATGTCCAAAGAAACTTGGAGGTTCAGGTGCAGAGATCTTTAAAATATCACAAGCAGGTGTAGAAGATAATCAAGAAAGTTAATGAAATGCTGAATTTTATATCTAGAGGACTGGAGTCTAAGGATGTTGAAGTTATGCAAGACCCTGGTTAGTGCCCACTTGGAATACTGTTAGCAGATTTGGGCATCACACCTTAGAAAGGATCTACTGAATTTGGAGGGAGTACAACATAAGTTTCCAAGAATGACACCTGGAATTCATGAGTTATAAGGAGAGATTATACAAATTAGACCTGTTTTCTCTAGAATTGAGAAGGTGAAGGTGATCTGATTGAAGTGTTGGAAATGTTAACAGAAAAGGCCAGGGTGGGTAAAGATAAACTATTTCCACTGGTAGTGGATTCTAGAACTCGGAGGCATAGTCTGAGAATTATGGCATGGTCGTTCAGAAGAGAAGTCAGGAACTTTACACATTAAGGGTAGTAGATGTTTGAAATTCTCTTCCACAAATGCTGCACCAGAGTTGTTTATTTAAAATGTCAGGTAGATCACTTTTTGTTAAGCAAAGACATTAAGGGATATAGGCCACAGATCAGCCATGATCACATTGGATGGTGAAAAAGACTCAGGGGGCTGGATGACCCACTCGTGTTCCTTTGTTCCTATCATTCAAATAAGTCACCAAAGTAGAAAAGCAATAACACACTAACAAGACATATTGAGAGAGAACATTAATGTTTTGATACTCCTAATAACAGCACTCAAAACTGAATAAACAATGTAATTGTATACCACAGTTGATCCTTAAAGTGCTGTGAAGTTACTTTATTAAGGCATGATGGTGCTTTCAGCATTATTTATAATATAATAGTCAGTTTGACACTTTAAATCCTGTCAAACATTGACCTTGTCACACTGTTGGTACAAATAGAATGATTTAAAGACTTTGCCGTCACTTTTAAATGAACTGGAAGCCATGTTTGAATAATGCCCATCCCAACTCCAGAAAGAAAAGGACCACAGAGACAATGGCAGAAATTTTAAGTTAGAATATGACACATTTGTTTAAAATAGTTAAAATTAAAAAACTGGGAAAGATGGCAAAGAGAAAACAGCCAAACAGAAGATAAAATAAGTGGTAATGCATTAATATTCTCAAAATCTAAGAAGCCTAATTATTGTAATATCATGCTCTGTTCCGCATCGCTGTGTGTATGCTGAAGACATGATTTTGAAAACGTATCTACACATGACTCTTGCTTTACAAGGCATGTAAATAGGACTAGCTGAGTTACTATCACAGACAGCTCGTACAGATACCATCAGCTGAATGGCCTTCTTTTGTGTTGTAGCTATACTAATAATTCTTGTACTCCACACACACCCCCACCTTCATAATCTGCCATTCCCTGGGGTTAAAAGCAGTGTTTAAGAAAAACAAGAGCAAACTAATAACATATTGAACAGTGAATTTACCCCAACCAATCAGATAGTAGTATTTCATTCTCTTCTCTTCGCTGATATTGACAGTGACGACCTTACTCCAGAGAAGTATTCCTTCCACCAGCATCCAGGCAAAAGCAGCCATGAAGAGCAGATGTAGCATAGCTGTTACAACAGAACATGCCACCTAGTGGGAGAGAGATGTACTGTAATTTAGATCCATTTAATTCCACTCAAGTTTTACAGAAACAAGAAACATGGATAGGCAATCAAGGATATCTCTGGTATGATTATGTACTTTACAGTTAGATGCACTGTCTACAAAATTCCACCCCTAACTGACAAAAATTGCTACCCAATGTGATCTAACCTATAATAAATGAGTTCTATTTTCTCCTTCATTTAATATAAACAGTCAGCAGATTATACCTTATTCAGTACTACACGCAGCAAGTATTTTGCAAGAATGTGCATTACTGTATGGTACTAAAAAATGCACAATCCTGAGGTGACAAAGTATTTGCATATCCATTTGCAACTAAGTGAAGCTGAACCTGGGCACCCTTGGCATCAGTATTTCCATTGGCATGGCATTGGGAGCAGGAAGCACAGGAGCACAGAAAGTATGGAGAAAGCAGGTTTGAGTAGATTGATAAGATACAGGGAAGCTATTCCTAATGCAGGTGCTCACCCACAATATAAAAGCATCCGGGACCAAGATTCGTGTTAAACTAAGGACTCTATTTATTCAGGCAGACAGAGGTTCTGACCGATCTCAAATCTTCACCACTCCCCCAACTCCACCATACCCAACCCTACGTTAAATTTTTCAGACAATTTTCAAAGCTATTAAATTAAACTGACAAGTCTATTGCAATGAGCAGATCAGAAAATACTCTTTAGCTTAACGGTGAACTTGACTGTTCAGGCATAGATATGTTTTTCTTTTATCTATTAATACCTCCTGCCTCTCAATCTTCCAAACCTTGCTTCATTCACTCACACCATCTCCAATCCCCTGAGAATTTCTGTCGTCTTCCTCCTGACCTCTCTCCTCTTCCTACTGCCCGGCTACTTTATGACCGCTTGATCATAGATCCTGCTCCTTCTGACTGCCAATACGGTTAATGGCTTCTATGCTCCAGTTGTCTCCTTCTATCTTTCAACCTTTACAAAAACATGTAACCTGATCTGTAACCACATCGTGAGTGTTTGCCTGCAGCAGGGTGTTTGTACCTAGTGGGGCAATACTTATATTGGCTCCCATAACAAAATAAATAGTTTTTTTCATTCTCTTGTGGGACTTGAGTATTGCTGGCTGGGCCAGCATTTACTGCTCATCCTTATTTGCCCTTGAGAAGGTGGTGGTGCGCTGCCTTCTTGAACTCTTCCAGTCCACATGCTGGATGAGGATAACATAGCATTAAAAGATTCATTGTATGTTTATTATAGCTCTTGGTATATAGACAGATTACAGGCACAGGCAATTCAGTTTCTGGGCTGTTACTAAGTTGTTTGGTTTCAAACCACCATGTCTCCATCCGCACGTCATGCTTCAAGTGGTACCAGTTAAGATGGAGTCTGAGGCCCTTACACCCTCAGATCATATTCATATGCTATGATACAGTAATGATTTAATGAGCGAGTTTCTTAAAAGAAGTATTGCATACTAGTTTTGAGATATAACACACCTGTAACCCATCCAAACTCTCCAACGAATACTTCTTGTTGCAACTTTCGTTTCACTCAAAAATCTTCAAACACACTGAGCATTGTTTTGGTGTTTACTCGCAGGATGGGAATATTCCTGATTTCACCTGATGATGTCAGTACGAGGTCAGAGAGGGAAGGCAACGTCGTGGTTTTCCTCAGAGGGTCTCCCCCTCAATTAGTGATGTTTTGCAAAGTTATCTCTGACCTACCTTCTTTCGGCTGCAGGGTCCCTACTCTCCTCAGCAATGGCCTCTGATTCTGGAGGCACTGCTGAGGCTTAGCCACTTGCTAATCAGATTGGCCAGTAGCTCTCTAAGGTGGAACTTCCTTCCAAGTGAGGGGCTAAAGTCCAGCCTCCTGTCAATTAACACTCCACAGGGAGTTAAATGGCAGTGGGGCTGCCGACATTACTGGGGATGCACTCCCTAATGCCATTTTCAGTAGCTGAGTGGGAAACGCCATCATCTGAAACGTCCTGTCCATTATATCTAAAGTCTTGGCCCTCAAACTCAAATCCTTCCGTGATATCTACTGACTCTGCAAACTTCTTCAGCCGTTTATCCTTACGTGCTTCCTTTGGTCTATTCACTTTGACCAATGTTCGCAAATCAATGCTTAGCAGATCCTCAGCAACCTTAGCCTTACTCTATGCAGTGTGCCTTCATCATACTCTGCCACCTTTTCAGTCCTTCACTATTCAAAACATATTTTCAATTAAAATTTCTCAACTGTCTTACCATAATTCAGTATCCATTCAGTTCATCAATTTTTTTCCTATGTCTGCTCTGGGATATTTACTATTTTATATGTATCATATGAATTCAATTTCTTATTGTAAGATAACTGTTCATGTACTCCTTTTGCTACTTACTTTTTAAAAATTTGAATCAAAGAGTCATACAGCATGGGAACAGATCCTTTGGTCCAACCAGTCCATGCTGGCCATAATCCCAATTAAGCTAGTGCCATGTGCCTGCACTTGGCCCATATCCCTTCAAACATTTCTTATTCATATCCAAATGTCTTTTAAATGTTGTAACTGTATCTGTATCCACTGCTTCCTCCGGAAGTTCATTCCACACATGAGCCATTCTCTGCGTTAAAAGGTTGCCCCTCATGTCTTTTTAAAATCTTTCTCCTCTCACTTTAAAATATGCCCCCTAGTCTTGAAATTCCCCATCCTAAGGAAAAGACACCTGCCATTCACTCTATCAATACCCCTCATGATCTTATAAACCTCTATAAGGTCACCCCTCAACCTCCTGCACTCCAGTGAAAAAAATCCCAGCATATCAAGCTTCTCCTTATAACACAAACCTTCTCTTCCTTGCAACATCCTGGTAAATCTTTTCTGAACTCTCTCCAGCTTAATAATATCCCTCCTATAACAGTGTGACTAGAACTGGACACAGTATTCACAAGAGGCCTCACCAATGTCTTGTACAACCTCAACATGACGTCCCAACTCCCAGTAACCGTAAATTATGACACAGACTTAGTACCATTTATATAGCAAGAACTCTCTGCACCTACACTATTAATGCTTTACATTACCTTAGAACATTTTTCTTGTCAATAGCTTCTTTTCCTAACCCATCCAATTTACAATTTAAAATTCTTTGAACTCTAACCTGCACATCGACTGTCCACAGCCTGTAAATTGATTTGTAGAATCCCAGACATACAACTTACTTTAATTTACCAATGTATTACCTCAGTTATATCTTCAAAGAATTCTAAAAATATCTGCTTGAAGATTAGATTCTAAAACTTACCTATTTGAATTTAGTGTCATGTGCCTTGCAAATACATGCAAGTAGTTTTTGTTACAACAGATAGCAGTACTTTTTCAATCTAATTACCATTGTTCCAGCCTTATGTTTCAAGAATCAAGGCAGAGTGTTTATTAAAAGCTTGTATTGACTTTCTGGTCTCAATATTTAACTCTGCAAGCTAAAGTTTTTCTGAAATGTCCAAGACCACATCTCCAGTTTGAACCTGATTTCTTATGTACAGGATGTCTAGGTTAATTCCATCTTGGTCTGATGTTTTATAAACCTCCAGTTTTTTTAAGGTCTATTTTTGTTAACTACTTGATCGATGCATCTCCTATTCCAATGTTTCATGCTCTAAATTGTAAAAAGAAATGCAAAGCTCTGTTGATCTTGCTCCTCCAAAAAATGCATGTTTACATTTAAAATTTGTTTAAAAAGTCATGATTCTCTAATTTCCTTGTCAGTCTGTTTGCCAATTGTCACTTTTCATGCATAACCATGAGTTTACTGTTTCTGGATAAGGATATTTTTATCAGTTATTTACATAATTAACTTGCACTTTCCAAGCATGCTTTTTTACCTGAACAAAAACAGAAGTTGCCAGAAAGGCTCAGCAGGTCTGGCAGCATCTGTGAAGAAAAAAATCAGAGTTAACGTTTTGTGTCCG